GGTGGGGGAGTGGAGGTAGGGGAGATTGTGAAGCCCACTGAAGTGTGGGAAATGATGCTCCAGGCTGTGAACCCATGTCCCTCATCTGACTTAACCATGTCACTGAACCATTTTTTTTCTAGTGTTTGCACCTGTAGCAGGATTAATAATAAAAACAATGGAGCCCAGAAGTTTCAAAATTTTAAAACAGGGGCTGAAAATGGAGGACAAGGTAGAAAATCTCTGGCTGTAAGTGAGCCATAGCAAGAGACTGCAAGTACTCAGAGCTTATGTCCAAAAGACAACGGTTCCATTTACAGTTAACAAGGAAAAAAAACATTTTCACTGGCTGTGAGGGCTAAAACTCCAAGCGGGGGGAACTGTCCAAAAAATGAGAAGCATCAGGGAAAGGATGTAAAAGAATTTAAAAAGGAAAAAGAAAAGCAAGCAAATTCATGTGTGCGTGCACGTACACATGCACAGGAAAGTGAACAGCAAAGAGACAGCTTCCACCAGGACTGGGTGTAGCTGAGACCTAATAAGCCTGCACCCAGGAGGAATCCAAAACATCTCCACATGAGGACAGAGCTCTGTAAATTCGCAAGCACTTACAAGCATCCTGAGGCCATAATAACATGCCAGCTCCAAGAGCTGCAGCCATTGGCAACATTTAGTGAAAGGTCAAAGTCTGTTTCATTTTGATCTCAAGTAATACCCCGAAAAGGTATGCACACCAGAGTACAGTGCACATGCTACACAAAGTCAAACAGAAAACAGTACTGCAGCCCACACAACAATGAGGGTTTTCTGCAGGTGCCCCTTTTCCAGAGTTGAATGTCAACTACTCTAAATCCCAGGGTTAGTTACTCTCCCAGCTCTCATCAGCCATCTAGTCCTGAGGCTGGCACATGGCTGTACATACTCTTGCTTTCTAGGTACACAATCTTAAAACACAAAACAAAACCAACACACTCTCCTTCCACTTTACACTCACAAGGAGAAGCCTGAAGTTTTAAAAATAGCTTTTAGGAAGCCAAGGAAACCCAACAGTAGCATATGAAGTGAAAGCATCTAGTGAACACAGGCACTGAAAGGTTAGGCTCCAACCCAAGCTAGTCACAAACACTGCCACAGAGCATCTGCTAACAAAGGAATCTGACTTTGCAGGGCTTCCTGAATATCTCATTTACCCTGTAAAATATGTAATGGAATGCACAATTAACTGTGTGTAAATTAACAAATTACCGTGAGGCATTTTATCACACGTAATAATTCAGGAATTTAAAAAGTAAAACCATCTAATTCACAACACTCACGTCTCCCCACTTACTCAAACCAAAGCTTTACAGCTCCAATATTTTGACTTCTTCACAAGGGTAGGCAGGACAAATGTTACCAAAAGACCAGTAATTTCAGAAGCCCTAGCAAGTAGGAATGAGTTCGCAACAATCAGGAAGCAGGGAGAAAAAGAGGAAGGTTCACAGTCTCTTTAAAGAGGCCCCACTTTCCTCTACTCCACTGGCAACCTAGTCCACTCCACTTCGAAATAGCTAATCAAAAGTTAAGGCCCCTGGGCTTCCCTGGTGGCGCAGTGGTTGAGAATCTGCCTGCCAATGCAGGGGACATGGGTTCAAGCCCTGGTCTGGGAAGATCCCACATGCCGTGGAGCAACTAGGCCCGTGAGCCACAACTACTGAGCCTGCGCGCCTGGAGCCTGTGCTCCGCAACAAGAGAGGCCGCGATAGTGAGAGGCCCGCACACGGCGTTGAAGAGTGGCCCCAGATTGCAGCAACTAGAGTAAGCCCTCACACAGAAACGAAGACCCAACACAGCCAAAAATAAATAAATATTAAAAAGTTAAGGCCCCTAGGACCTGTGTGCAATGGCCCGTATTTAAAAGTAGGCAGTAATAATGTGGAAGTGAAGAAACATCTGACCGCATTTAAGAAACCGATGCTGGATTTATCTGGTTTCCTTGGATATAAGAAGCTGCTCTGTCTCAGTCACTGTGATTCTAAGGTTAACCCTGAGCACCAGTGGGCCACTGTTCATTTTCAAAGGGTTCTCAGTCAGAATATTCCAAAAACAAAACTGAGGCACACAAATCAGTGAAACTACCATCTATGTTGACAGAACAAGAAACAAGAATGGACAAGAGCTGGGAAATTGCCTGGTGGTCCAGTGGTTAGGAATGGGCACTTTCACTGCTGTGGGCCGGGGTTTGATCTCTGGTTGGGGAACTAAGATCCTACAAGCCACACAGACAAGAGCTGATATCTGGAGTTAAGCTTAGCTTAGATCATGTGGATTCTAACAACTTATACTGAACAATTTATTTCTATTTTTTTTAATTTTAATTTTTTTATTTTTGGCCGAGTTGGGTCTTCATTGCTGCATGCCAGCTTTCTCTAGTTGCAGCTAGTGGGGGCTACTCTTCATCGCGGTGCATAGGCTTCTCATTGCAGTGCCTTCTCTTGTGGCAGAGCATGGGCTCTAGGTGCGCGGGCTTCAGTAGTTGTGGCACACAGGCTTAGTAGTTGTGGCTCACGGTCTCTAAAGCACAGGCTCAGTAGTTGCGGCGCACGGGCTTAGTTGCTCCACAGCATGTGGGATCTTCCTAGACCAGGGCTTGAACCTGTATCCCCTGAATTGGCAGGCGGATACTTAACCATAAGCCACGAGGGAAGTCCCTGAACAATTTCTTCCTTTTTTTTTTTAAACTTCTTTATTAGAGTATAACTGCTTTACAATGGCGTGTTAGTTTCTGCTTTATAACAAAGTGAATCAGTTATACATACACCTATGTTCCCATATCTCTTCCCTCTTGTGTCTCCCTCCCTATCCCACCCCTCCAGGCAGTCACAAAGCACCGAGCTGATCTCCCTGTGCTACGCGGCTGCTTCCCACTATCTACCTTACATTTGGTACTGTATGTATGCCCATGCCTCTCTCTTGCTTTGTCACAGCTTACCCTTCCCCCTCCCCATATCCTCAAGTCCATTCTCTAGTAGGTCTGTGTCTTTATTCCTATCTTACCCCTAGGTTCTTCATGACATTTTTTTTTCTTAAATTCCATATATATGTGTTAGCATACAATATTTGTCTTTCTCTTTCTGACTTACTTCACTCTGTATGACAGACTCTAGGTCTAACCACCTCATTACAATAGCTCAATTTCATTTCTTTTTATGGCTGAGTAATATTTCATTGTATATATGTGCCACATCTTCTTTATCCATTCATCCAATGATGGACACTTAGGTTGTTTCCATCTCTGGGCTATTGTAAAGAGCTGCAATGAACATTTTGGTACATGACTCTTTTTGAATTATGGTTTTCTCAGGGTATATGCCCAGTAGTGGGATTGATGGGTCATATGGTAGCTCTATTTGTAGTTTTTTAAGGAACCTCCATATTGTTCTCCATAGTGGCTGTACCAATTCACATTCCCACCAGCAGTGCAAGAGTGTTCCCTTTTCTCCACACCCTCTCCAGCATTTACTGTTTCTAGATTTTTTTGATGATGGCCATTCTGACTGGTGTGAGATGATATCTCATTGTAGTTTTGATTTGCATTTCTCTAATGATTAATGATGTTGAGCATTCTTTCATGTGTTTGTTGGCAGTCTGTATATCTTCTTTGGAGAAATGTCTATTTAGGTCTTCTGCCCATTTTTGGATTGGGTTGTTTGCTTTTTGTTATTCAGCTGCATGAGCTGCTTATAAATTTTGGAGATTAATCCTTTGTCAGTTGCTTGATTTGCAAATATTTTCTCCCATTCTGAGAGTTGTCTTTTGGTCTTGTTTATGGTTTCCTTTGCTGTGCAGAAGCTCTGAAGTTTCAGTAGGTCCCATTTGTTTATTTTTGTTTTTATTTCCATTTCTCTAGGAGGTGGGTCAAAAAGGATCTTACTGTGATTTATGTCATAGAGTGTTCTGTCTATGTTTTCCACTAAGAGTTTGATAGTTTCTGGCCTTACATTTAGGTGTTTAATCCATTTTGAGCTTATTTTTGTGTATGGTGTTAGGGAGTAATCTAATCTCATACTTTTACATGTAGCTGTCCAGTTTTCCCAGCACCACTTATTGAAGAGGCTGTCCTTTCTCCACTGTACATTCCTGGCTCCTTTTATCAAAGATAAGGTGACCATATGTGCATGGCCTGAACAATTTCTATATAAACATATTTAAAGGCTTGGTGACTTCATTCCATAGTGAGATAACCTCAGCTGAGTTTTGAAAAACTACTTCTATAAGATTTAAAGTTTCCTGGAGATTATCTAGCCAGTATTGGGCTTATCTTAACAAATGGTAAGATATTAAAAAAAAACTACAGTACCCCAAATACCACCACCCAACATAAGTATGATTCAAAGTCAGCATTTCTGTTAGAGTGAAAATTAAGTGTTAATTTCCACCAAATTTGAACCCTTGTTTACACATGACAAAATATTTTGCTTTTATGGAAGAGGTCTCTTCTAGTGCTAAGAGATGATGCCATGCTGTTGAAGACGCCTAAGGTGTAATCCTATTTCTTCTTTCAGCTCATGATAGGATTTTAACACAGTCCCACAAATGCTTCATACAGTTAGTTACCTTAGGGGAACCTTAAGCACAACTATCAAAAATAGTGCAAGATGTTTGTAATTTAACTGCTTCCCTTATCTTTCACCAACAAACCGTATGCCGCCTTTGGTCTTCACACAGATGTGGGCCCAGCCCACAAGGAACCTGAGTTCCTTGTGGGAACTCAGTAATGGACCTTTCTCTTAATCCCATCTCAAGAAGCACGCATCTCAGTTTAAAAGCTGTAACCCAAAGTGAACGCTTCACATACAACTAATTCGGTGCAATTTAAAAACCAGTACCATCAGTAACATTAAGGATTAGAGTTATGAATGAGAATAATGGTTACTTATCCTTTATTCACTGACTTTGAAAGGCCGCACTTCTTTCACTCACTCTGCTGCTTTTTAATATACAAGGAAAACAAAAGGAAAAAACCTGTTACGTGGACCTACGTTTTGGCCGTGACATCCACATACTGTCCTGGGCGAAAGTGAGCAGCATAAAGAGGAGTGCCTTTATGAAAAGAAAACAAAAAATCAGTATGAAATCAGCCCCAAAAAAACTTCATTAAACATAAACTACATACAGGAAGCCTTCTAGCTATCAGATTTCAAAATGTCAGGAGAGTCTCTTCTGCAATTTTAATTATTAGAAATGTCAACAATAAAATAATAAAACTGCTCAACAAATGTATTCTAATGGACTGTATGTAGGCTGAAGTATGGGGCACATGGTGCTGGAGTGGCCAACAGCCCACGGCCACTGGTGCGCTTGTGCCTTTACAGAGGCCAACGTGATACTGGCTGAAACAGGCAACTCCTGTGACAACACTGTTCCTGCTGGTAAATACATGAGATTCTTGGTTGTTTCTGTGAATAACAATATGTTAAGATGTATTTCCTATTTCAAATAAGGAAAATAAAAATAAGAGAATGACTCAAAAAACACTGGGGCTGGATCAAGTCCTTTTTTTTTTCCTATTGGAGATAAGTTATCCAAAAATAGGAATCAACATTAACATCATCCAGTAAAAGACTTTTTTTTTAAAGCTGGAACCAATGTAGTAGAGAATGTAATCAAAAGCTATTTTTGTTTGTTTAAAACAGGGAGTAAAGTGCTGTAGGTTTAGTGTCCTTAAGGTAGGACCCAACGTGGGTTTATATGGGCAGAGAAAAACCTTCATTTAAGAAAAAATAGGGGAGATTAAAAAGTGACCGAATTTCTACGAGGTTGAATGACCTGAACTGCTGATATTTGACCATTTTTCACCCACACACACAAAAATATCATACGGTTTGTGCTACAGCAAAAGTTAATGTGGACCTAATTTTTATACTTGTTAAATTCCATGTACTTTACCTCAAAGATGAAAAACTTGCACTTCAAAAAATACCTTCAGTTCTAAGTTATATCAAGCCTGACTCTACCGCCCCTATTAATAAGGCCTATTGCAATTGTATTCTGCTTCAAGAAATTCAGTTCAGGTATTGAAATATCAAATCTTAAAACATCCTTCTACAGTCTACCTGTTAGAGAACTCAAGAGATAGGGAGCTTTTCTGAAGTTCAAAGACATCAAAATGCCATTAACTATATGAACCAATATAATCATACTGCCAAATCTTACTTTTTGACATTCCATGGAGTAGGTAAAATACTTTGAAATTTTTAAGTAAAAATCTTTACATCAAGGTGCTATGGTCCGTCACTTTCCTGTTTCAGGCTACATTTTCTCAAATTATCCTATCTCAGTGAGGGTCTATTCTTCACTTAATAAAATGCCAGCCTACAAACAGTGAACTTCACATTTTAAAAGTTCATTTATTTATTTGGAGTTGCTTTTCCAAATGTGAAACTCTCTGTACATTAAAAACAAAAGCGTTCCTCCCTCTTTCATGGAAAACAAAGAATTCTCTACAGTTCTTTCCACTTAGAAAAAGACTTGTTTGTCCCTAGTGATTAAATCAGATACAGTTCTATATTTAAAAATAAATGTTTGGGACTTTGTATTGTGAATTCAGCTTTATTGAAAGGGCTTACACATTAAACAAATCACATATTTGGGTAGTTTTACCTCCCTCTTCTCCCCGACCTCAGATTACCTGGCTTAATTACAGCATTATCTGTTACATTAAAGATTTTAACTTTCTGTTTTGGTGGCAATCCAAGTTCTCGGTAAAATTCCAATACAGATGTAGATTTCTAGAGGAAAAGCAGCACATATAAGTAACACATTAATTACAAAAAGTGGAATTTAATGCCTAGAGATCTAAACTAAGTTACTAACACTCCAGGAAAACAAATTAAAGAGCACTCTGCTTCCCCAATGAACAAGAGTACTCTATAGCCCTTAATTAAGGGAGGTGAGATTTTCATCCATCACACTCAGAATTGGCATAGTGTAGCTCACATAAAGAACTGGCATAGTGTAGCTCAAAGTATACGGGGAAAGACTCTTGTTCCACAGGAAAAGAAATACAGTTGTGCTCATATTTGGACTTTTTTTTTTTCTTTTGCGGCACGCGGGCCTCTCACTGCTGTGGCCTCTCCCGCTGCAGAGCACAGGCTCCGGACACGCAGGCTCTGGACGCGCAGGTTCAGCACCCATGGCTCATGGGCCCAGCTGCTCCACGGCATGTGGGATCTTCCCGGACTGGGGCATGACGTGAGAGCCTCTCATTGCTGAGGCCCCTCCCGCAGGCTCGTCGGCCATGGCTCACGGCCCCAGCCGCTTCGCGGCATGTGGGATCTTCCCGGACCGGGGCACGAACCCGTGTCCGTTGCATCGGCAGGTGGGCTCCCAACCACTGCGCCACCAGGGAAGCCCTCATATTTGGATTTTGACTGGAGACCGTCTGTATCAAGAACCCCAATCTTGGGAAATTTGACTCTAATTTCCCTGCTGTGTCCAAGCAGCTGGGAGGAAACATGACAAGTCACATTCAAATGTACAATCAGACTTCTCAGTGAGTCCCAGTGTGGCCTGGCCAACCCACATTCCCCTGTTAAATCCCTCTCACACCCACATTCCCCAGTTAAATCCCTCTCACTCCCCAAGGCAGCTCCGCCACACCCTCTTAAAACCTCCAGCACTCTCCCCTCCTTCTCCCTGCTTTGAGCTGATAATGTTGCTTCTTATTGCACTGAAAAAAACAGAAGACTCAAGAGCCCTTCCCCAAGCTTTTATCACCAAATCAATCATCACCCTCCCACCCCACTCCAGGTGCACAAGAGGCACATGGGAAGCTTTCAGAGAACACCAAGGCCAAGGCCTCAGCTTGGAGGCTGTAACTTCACCGGTCTAAGGGGGCATCCAGGTGTCAGCATTTTTTCAGCTCTCCATATGGTTCTGATGTGAATCTGGGGCTGGGAACCACAAAAGAGATGAACTGTCCATGTTCTTATTAAAGCCAAATCCTTCACTGTGTACTGACTCCTACCTCCTCTCATCTACTCAATGGCTTTACTACTGAAACTGTCCCCACCATCTTCTTAATCAACAATTTCCCCCTTTCCACTCGAACTTTACTAGCAGCATAAAAGAATCACAATAACTCACATTAAAACACAAACTTTTCCTTGGCCACGTTACCTCCTCCAGCTAATCTTTCTGTGCCTGCCCACGACAAGGCTTTCATCAGGGGCTTCCAGCCCCTTGTACTAAATGGAACGTGCTGGTCAAAATCACCAAATGCCCTGGTCACCATGAGCACTGCTTGGCATGGGCAGCTGCTCTCTCCTTGGAAGGCCTCCACTCCACTTCCAGCTACTACTCCCTGGTTCTTTCACAGGCTAATGACCCACTTTTCTAACATCCACCCCAAATTCTACTCTGAACTACAAATTTTTCTGCCCAATTGCCAAGCCAACATTTCACTTTGATGTCACACAACAACTCAAGTTTAACACGTCTAAACTTGAACTCAACACGCTCCTGCCCCACCAGGCCTGCTCTCCTCGTCTTCCCAATCTCAATAAACAGCAGCTCCATACTTCTGTTTAGACCAAAAATTCTATGGTCACCTACAACTCTTCTCTTTCTCACATCCCACGTCCATCCATCAGCCATTCCTGTAGCCTCTATTTAAACACATAGCCCACATCAGCCACTTCTCACCCCGACCCCAGCCAGCCGTGTATCGTCTGGATTATTTCAGTAGCCTCCTATCACATCTCCAACTTCTATACTCCTGACCCCCTGGTATGTTCTCCATTCACAGGCTGGCATGATCCTTCTAAACTCAAGTTACGTTAGTCTCCACAATGGCCTGCATCTTGTGCAGAAGAATCGAGTCCTAAGTCCTCACCATGGTTTCCAAGGTTCTACACCACCTACTCTCCTCCCAGCTTGCCCTGCCTTGGGGACAATGTGCTCCTTACCAGTCTAAGAACTCACTAAACAACAGCCTCAGGTCCTTTGCACATACTGGTCCCCCTTCCTGGAATGCCATTCTGCCAGATTTTTTACCCTTTACTTTTTCCTCTCCATAGTCTTAAACTGCCTATGCTATTTACAACTGCAGAAAATGTCTGCCTCACTATTATAGGTACACAGAATAACGACTTGACTTACACACATGGAAAGATCATCACAATAAGTTTAGTGAGCATCCATCATCTCATATAAATAAAAAATTAAAGGAAACGAAAACAAACTTTTTCTTTGTGATGAAAACTCTTAGGGTTTACTCTTAACTTTCACATATAATGTACAGCAGTGTTAATTATATTTATCATGTTGTACATACATCCCTAGTATTTATTTACCTTATAACTGGAAGTTTGTACCTTTTGACTGCCTTCATCCAATTCCCCCTCCCCCATCACCTGCCTCTGGTAACCACAAAACTGTAATCTTTTTCTATGAATTTGTTTGTTGAAGTATAATTGACCTATAACACTGTGAGTTCCTGGTGCAAAACAAAGTGATGCAATATTTGTTACACAATGATCACTATTATAAGTCTAGTTACCACCTGTCACATACAAAGATATTACGTAGTTACTGACTATATTCCCCACATTGTATATTTCATACCCATTACTCATTTATTTTGCAACTGGAAGTCTGTACCTCTTAACCTCCCTCACTTATGTCTCTCCTCATGCCTCTGCCAGATTTGTGTATAATATGCTCCCTCACTTCATTCAGGTCTTCACCCAAATATCAACTTACCTTTCCTGATTATTCTACCTAAAATAGCACCACTTTCTGTCTCTTGCAATGCCCTCAGCACACTTTATTAATCTTCAAAGCACTTCCCTCGATCTGTCACAATACATATTTTTTAATTGTTTATCTTCTGTGCAATAGCTTCCCTGTCTCACCCCCAAGCCCACCAAAATGTAAGCTTCTAGAGAGCAGAGACTGTAGTGGCTGCTCCATCCCCAGCTCCTAGCAGGTCCTACTGTCTGCTCTTCCCTCCACCCCTGCTTTTTCGTTCTGCTATTGCAAATATTCCTGAATAGAAAATATCCTTGAATAGAAAACTTTATGGACAACTTACTTCCTTACCATAATGTCCTATTGTCTTTTTTTTGTTTTAATTCTTAACTCTTGACATAGATACTGTAAGACTTACCAAAAAAGCTGTACCACTTCCTGATGTGAAGAGCCTCTTTCATGAGAATATAAGCAATAATATTTATTTTCCTGCTGTTCCCTCTCCCCCTGCTTCCCCTCTGATCCTAAACAAAGCACCTGCAGGAACCCAATGAGCCACAGTACTCTATGTATGCTTACCTGTGCCTGCCCATGCCAGTCTGTTGGCCTATAATCTCCCCCCAACTATGTATTTCCAAAGCTCACTGAAAGTCTGTTAAATACATGTCTAGTCCCAGGTCCAGTGATAAGCCACACTTATCTGAAGAACATGTATTTGAATATGCAGCAAACTTCAGGTACTTGCTAATTTCAGTTTGAAATAAGAACTGTGCCCCTTTATAACTTACTGAGTAGGCTGTCCTCAGCTGACATGAAATTGGGTGGCATTGGCCTATAAGCAGAGAACTTTAGTTTTTGGATCAGTCCACAGCCCCCTGAGAATCTCCCTGGAGCCCCCCAGTGGGACTGTGCAACAAATACTGAACAGCTCTGCTCCGGATGTCCACAGAAGATTGTTCTCTACCTCACAGAGTCCCCTCGGGAAGCTATCCTTTCTTCCAACAGTGATAACATACATTCACTCCAGTCATTCTTTATGGTTTCACTTCCCATATGATGAAATCTAAGACTGATATTCAACATCGCTTTTACCAAGGCCCCTGCTTTTCATCCTCAGTCATACTCACTTCTTCCACAAAAGCAAACACAAAAGTTCATTTAAAAATGTGGCTCCTTGAAAAAGAAATAAAAAGAAATCCAGACTGGAAGGGAAGAAATAAAACTATCACTGTTTGCAGATGACATGATACTATATATGGAAAATCTTAAAAGATGCCATCAAAAAAACTATTAGAACTAATAAATGAATTCAGTAAAGTGGCAGGATACAAAATTAATATATAGAAACCTGTTGCTTTTCTATGCACTAACAATGAACTATCAGAAAGAGAAATTCAGAAAACAATCCCACTTGCAATTGCAAATTATCAAAAAAAATAAAATACCTAGGAATAAATCTAACCAAGGAGGTAAAAGACACTTGGACAACTAAAAGACACTGATGAAAGAAAGTGAAGATGACACAGAGAAATGGAAAGATAGACCATGCTAATGGACTGGAAGAATTAATACTGTTAAAATAGTCATACCACTCAAGGCAATGTAAAGATTCAATGCAATCCCTATCAAAATACCAATGGCACTGTTCACAGAACCAAAACAAAAAATCCTAAAATTTGTATGGAAACACAAAAGACACAGAATAGACAAAACAATTTTGAGAAAGAAGAACAAAGCTGGAGGTATCATGCTCCCTGATTTCAAACTATACTACAATGCTACAGTAATCAAAGCAGTATGGTACTGGCACAAAAAGAGACACACAGATCAATAGAACAGAAGAGAGAGCCCAGAAATAAACCCACACTTAAATGGTCAACTAATCTATGACAAAAGAGGCAAGAAAATACAATGGGGAAAAGACAGCCTCTTCAATAAATGTTGTTGGGAAAACTGGACAGCTACATGCAGAACAATCAAACTGGACCACTTTCTCATATCATATACAAAAATAAACTCAAAATGGATTAAAGACTTA